CAAACTGGACTGTGAAAAGTCCTGTTTGGCCAGAACAGGAAGAGCCGCTCAGCATCGACCTGCAATTACAGTAAAAAAAAAAAAAAAAAGCCTCATGTCAGAAGCTAGCCGGGGGAACGAGACTGAGGCTTCTGCAAAACGTCTTCCTCTAAAGGCCAGGGCCGGACAGATTTAGCTGACAACACGGCAGCAGTCTGGAGGTTGTGTTTTGAGCTGGTACCTGCTCTGTGGGTCTGCGGTCTTGTTGGCTGAACTGGGAAAGAATCCCATAACTTTTCCTAGAAACTCCTGACACGGTTTTCCTGAAGCGACACAGGAAACCTGAAGTTTATGCAGCAGCTGTGAGTGGTTTGCTTTTGCATTTCCCACTTTTTTTTCCCTCTCCTGGCCTAGTCCTCGCCCCTCGGTTTCCCCTCCAGTCTCGTCCATGAGGTGGCAGAATGTGTGTGAGTGAGTGCGTGCGCACACACACACACACACACACACACACACACACACAAACGAAATGCCATTGTGACTAACCTCCATCTCCGTCTGCCGATCTAGACAACCGGTCATTTTGCACAGACATACATAATTGTACAGCTATTTATGTTTAAGCGCAGATTTGTAGTTTTTTCTCTGTTGTGGTCTTCGTCATTCTTGTTTTTCCTGCATTTACCGTCACTTGCCCCTCCACAAGCCCTGGAAATGGCATCGACTGCAACATTGGTGTATAATTGCAGAGTGTCTTTGCTTCTCTGGAGCAGTTATGTTTAACTGCACAGTTCTTGTGAAATTATTCACACAGCTAAAACATTTTCACATTCTGTTCACTGGGGGGCGCACCGGTTGTAGTTTTCTGTTCGACCACAGATCTTTATAAAGCCCGACTGATTCCGATATTGGCCGATACCGTTTTTTTTAAAACATTTTTTAATAGCTGACGCTGTGACATGGCATCTTAGTTGGCAACAGCAGCTGATTTTTCACACCTTTTCGGAGGTTGGCAGGATCACTTGATCAGATCGGTTTCACATCCAAGTATCAGCCGTTCACTCAAATGAAGGAAATCAGAGCCTGTCAATTGGTGCGCTCCGAGCTACATCCACAAGTTTAATAACACATCATTATGAGGAAAAATGCATGTAATTCTAATTTTTGGGGGATCAGTCTCATGTGTTTTTCTTATGAGGTAAAGGTCACAGGAAATTTTAAAATATCACTAGATAATTATGTGTTATTGGAGGACATTATTAAAAATACCTAAACACCAACTATAAAGTCTTAAAAATGACACCGGAGGGCCAAAGTTGTACCATTATTTAACCGCGGTTGGGGAAGGTTCAAAGGGTCACACAGGTTGGACCCCCCCCCTGTCATAAACCATCTACCCATCCAATTAGCAATGATGCCCTACTTTTGTGTTGAGCTTTCATTAAAAAAAAAAAAATCCCAGTAAAATATACGTTTGTGATTGTCCAAAGAGTATGAATAGTTTTCCAGAGAATATTCTTTTTAAAAAGTATGTTTGTTTTTTCTTGTTTGTTTTTCCGGTGTACGCGTTTTCTGTTTTGTTTCGTCCTGCTGGCTGCTGACCTTCCACCAGCCTTGTAACGATTTCACCATTTTGGTCCCTGTTTAGTCTAGACGGACATCCTGAGCTGATCTGCATGACACCCAGACAGGAGAAAACAGATAGTGGCATTTTTTCATGTCTGGAGGCAACTTGGACATTTTTTTTTCCTTTGCTGTGTGTGTATTATTTTTTTTTTTCTCTCTCCCTCTTTTTCTCCCTCGCTCTAAAATTCCACAGACTTTAAGCAAAAGTTCAGACAAAAGAGCTTCCAGACTTTGGCAGGGGGTTCACGTGCACGCCGAGGCCGAGCGGAATGGCGCACGCCTCGTGCTGAAATCTGTCAAACATTTGACCCCGCCGCGTTTGAACCGAAGCCCGCGCCGTAGCGAAAGCCTCGGTGAGACTTTTACGGCCCGTGGCGGTTCCATCTGTATTCTGGCACGGCCCTGAGCCGCGGCCTTTCAGACGGGAGGAATGAGAGACGGATAATGAGGGAGGGGGGCGGGGGGAGGCCGACTATTGAGTGATGTAAACGATACGCCGCCGTGGGACTCGTCCAAGCAGCGCGGAACGCGTCCAAACACATGCTGGTTTACATGTATCTCTCTCTCACATGAATCCTTTCTTCTCCTCCGGTCCCTTTCCAAATTGTTCTCCTCTCTCTCTCTCTCTCTCTCTCTCTCTCTCTCTCTCTCTCTCTCTCTCTTTTTATCTCTGTTTTCATTCCTGTCTGTCTGATTGTGCTGTTTTTCACTCATTACACTTCTTCTGTTTTTGATCTTCAACAGACCAGAGACTAGACTTGAACAAGCTGAGCCCCAACGACAGTGACACAGTCCGAGGGCAGATTGTAGGTAAGTGCACCGAAGGAATCGACAGGAAAAATTCACGTTTTCTCAAATCACAGGATTTGATGGAAATCGGATTACAATTTCAGGCTACAAAAATGGGAAAAATCCAGCCTTTGATTTGAGTACGATGGAAAAAAATGATGGATTTAAGGCTTAGAGCTGGGAAGTGTGGTAGGCCTGCGTCCAGGAAACAAACTTTGCCGGACAATAAATTGTCCCAGAAGTTATTGCAATAAACGATAATATTGTTGCTTTGAGACCATTTTAAAGTAATATATTGGTATATTATACATCTGAGCTGCTCTTGCCATTTGAAGAAATGCACCACTTCTAAAACCAACCAATCAGAGCCAGGAGGAGGGTCTCAGTGCTGTTAATCAACGTCATGTACTCGCTGCTAAATGTGCTTATTATAGCAAAACAACTCGTTCTTACAGGAAAACTGTTTATCTCCCATCAACGGTGGCTATGCTAACTAGCCTTAACATTCACAACAGGCTAGGCTAGCATTAGCATAGCGGAGAGCAGAGGATGAGCAGCGCCACACAAAATTGTGATTGACAGCACTAAAACCCGCCTCCTGGCTCTGATTGGTCGTTTCTAGATGGCACCAGGAGAGCTTAGAGGGGCTCAGTATTTTTCACTGATTATATGTCTTATACCAAACTGTCACAACATGATGATAGTTTCAACAAATATGCAAAAAATATTGTTTTATACATTTATACATTACATTCTGCAGCTTTAATATTGATGAAAGTACCAGCTCCGCTGGCAGAGTATTTCACATATAGCAAGGCATTTTTCCAAGTGAAATAACCTACCAGTGGAACTCGTGCTTTTTATTATTATTATTATTATTATTATTATTATTATTTCTTAAGTTACGAATAAGTTAGCTTTGTCCTATTCGAAGTGTATCAATATATTTGTCCTAGAAACTAGATCAAAAATATTTGGTAAGATTGTGTTTTTGCATTGTGGAAAAAATCCACCTCCATTGCTTTTTTCCAAGTTTTGGATTTTGATTTTAGCCATTTTCCTGATTTTTTGTTTGTTTGTTTGTTTTATAAACCTACACAGTTTTTTTCCCCCATCCTTTTGTTTTTCATTTTTATCAAATCTGGTATCTGCTGTCTAGTAACCCTAGCATTTGCATGTGCCTGCCATGTGTTCCCGCAGTGAGCCTGCAATCGAGGGACCGCATCGGCACCGGAGGCCCCGTGGTGGACTGCAGTCGGCTGTTCGACAACGATCTTCCAGATGGGTGAGTGAGGGCGAAGCCTCTTCGGTTTCTCTCTCAGCCGCTGCGAGTCGAACACAACCATGTGCTCGCTCACTCGCACGGCGCATTAATGCAGAACCGATGTAAGCATGCGAGTTTGGTGTGTCGGCTCACCGCCACGCCCCTGTGTGTCTGTGTGTGTCTTTCTGCCGCCAGCTGGGAGGAGAGGAGGACGGCGTCTGGACGGATCCAGTACTTGAACCACATCACACGCACCACGCAGTGGGAGAGGCCGACCAGGTGAGTTGGAATCCCAAACCTGGACTTCTTTAGCGTCAAATGGCGGGAGGTCCGAGGATGGAGAACCTCGCCATCTGACCTCGGTTGATCCCCAATATAAAATAAAAATCTCAGGGAGAACCGAAGTGGGTTTCAGGGAAACGTAGTTGGAAAACGTGAAACATCTCCTTTTTCATCCTGAGGGAGAACGTTTCCATGGCACATATTTTACGTCTTCTCGCATTCTTTGTTTTATTCGTCACGTTCACTTCCTTCCCTCTCCTCCGCTCTCACCTCCTTCTTCCCTCCGACTCTCAGGCCCGCGTCGGAGTACTCCAGTCCCGGACGGCCGCTGAGCTGCATCGTGGACGAGAACACGCCTGTTAGCACGAACGGCGCCACGCCCACCACCGCATTGCCTCCGAGCGACGGCGACCAGCGGGCCCAGGAGAGGCGGGTGCGGTCGCAGCGGCACCGCAACTACATGAGCAGAACCCACCTGCACATGCACCCGGACCTTCCTGAGGGATACGGTGAGCGGAACAGCAACACCACATAAAACACACACACACACACACACACACACTTTAACTTACAGCACTTTGCAGAACATCTTTGACGAGGTTGTTTTAACAGGTGAACAACTCTGATCTAAACCCCTGGTTGTCAAACGGTGCTACTTCTGCTACCAGAGCCCGATTTGCAAGGATGTGGTTCCCTGGGCTTGAGCCATTTTTGGTCACTGAGGGAAAAATCTGCTACTAATGCAACTTACAATATATTATTAATAGCTAGTCCTCTTCATAAGCAAGTATGAATTGATGCACGGTAGGTTTAATGCATCCTCTGAGCAGTGGCTCCATGTTGTTTCCAAACGTAACGTACTATAATTTCATAATTTTCAAATACTTCAGTTTTGTTTATAGTCGTAAAAATGACTAAATATTAAGTTGTGTGAGTTTTATGTAAAGTACAATAAAATTCTTCCAGAACAGGAACATTTAGTTCTTATTATTACTTGGAAACTGTGGAGTACTCATTAAGTTTATAAATTTAAAACGCACTTAGAAAGTCCAGAGAATATTTACTGATTTAGCAACCCCAAAAAATTAGAACAAACTTAAAATCCAGAAAAACTGTAACAGCAACTACTTTTTAGACTCTTATTCTTCCAAACCAGAAAAAGAATTAGACCAGAAGATACATACATACTTGCGCTTATCTAGCAACCTGAACAGGAGGGTCTAGTTCATAAAATTTGGATAAACATGATTAGATTCTTTTCTTCTTTTGCTGAATTAAACCTGTTATTTTGTTTGTATTTAATTTTAATTGCCTTGGTGCTGAAAATGTGCTATATAAATAAAATTACATGTCTTACTTTACAATGTAAAATATGTATTCATTAAAAATAAATTGCTGGATTCCCCAAAAAATTGGCGCCCTGGGCTTCTGCCCATTTATCCCCTCTAAACTCTCCTCAGTGTGGTGCTTTTGCTGGCTTTTGTGAAAATTTAGTATTGTCCATTTACAATTTGAAAATAAAGTAAATTAGCTGTAATGTGGAGATAATAAAGCAAAATAGTTAAAAAATGGACTAATTGTTTTAACGGCTGATTCTCATAAAGGAAGTGAACTCAGAACCATCCATCCATCCATCCATCCATCCATCCATCCATCCATCCATCCATCCATCCATCCATCCATCCATCCATCCATCCATCTATTTTCTGTACACCCTTGTCCCCAGTGGGGTCAGGAGGTGCTGGTGCCCATCTCCAGCTAACATTCCGGGCGAGAGGCGGGGTCACCTTGGACAGGTCGCCAGTCTGTCACAGGAACTCAGAACAAAGTCCAGTTTTTTCTTTTTTAGCATTTTTGTGGCAAATTTGCAATAAACTCACAATAATGCAATAGCGCCAAAATCTGTTGACTTTGTGTGAATTTCTGCAATCGCAGAATCACGAAAGAACCGATTGACAGAATCAGTTTTGATTTGATTGATAAAATGATATTTAAGCTTGAAAGCTCTGTTTATGTGTCGTCCCTTCAGAGACAAGCAGAAGAAGCTACAACAGGCTGAATTTGGCCTTGAGTTTGACACACTTGGTCTAATAGAAGTTGTTATAAGCTTGGCAGCCGCCACTCTGCCCTCTTCCCCTCCTCCTCTTTCAGCCCACAGTGAAACAGATGCATTCATGTAAAAGATAGTGCAGAGACAAGCTGCAGTCTCTCCCTAAAGTCCGGGGAAGGTTTGTTTTTCCTCATGGTGAAGGAGGAACTGTAACGCATCGCTGAGATTAGGAGGCTCTCTGTTGCCGTCTACTCCTTTAGATAGCCCGTCTAATTTATTTATCTGACAATAAATTAGCACGATAGACTCGTGGGAATACACACAGTCACTTTTGTTCTGAATATGCAGAATCAGGATCTGGTCGTTTCTTTTTATATTTCTATATTTTAAACAAAAAAACACAGGTGAATCAAAAATGATTCAGCATGAATGTTGCACTGCAGTCGCTCCTTTGCGCGGTGGAAAACATTAGAGGGGAAGGTGTAACCGGACCCAGAGGGTACTTCCTGTGCCCTGCGGTCTCGCAGCTCGGTGTTGGGATATCGTAACAGTCCTGGCATGTCTGAGAAAACATTTTTCTGGCTTAACGGGGCGAGCGATGATACGCTTCACCCCCCTCCGCCCTTGATTCCTGGAACCTCATGAGAAGCATTTCGTGATGCAGCTCTTGACAGGAACAGGAAGGTGGACGCAGTGAAGACGGTGGCAGAGGACAGGAAATCTCCATCGGGCAGTGATGAATGAGCTCACCAACTGAAAACTCAGACGTCCCTCCTGCCTCTCCCCCTCCGCCACGTCTCGTCTCTCACCTCCTCCCTGCCGGCCGCCGTTTGGGATCTCGGCCGACTCGAGCCGTCCTTTCATCTCCCATCTGTCAGATCGCTCTTGTACGCTGACAGATTGGGTACAAGCTGTCTGCACGTGGAATATAAATTAAACTTCGGAGAAGTGCTTTTAATTGACGCGATTAACCCCTTTAAATTTTGTCGATGTCTTTTCACAGAGCAAAGGACGACGCAGCAAGGTCAAGTTTACTTCCTGCACACTCAGACGGGTGTCAGCACATGGCATGACCCCAGAGTACCCAGGTATGAGTCACGCAGTCACCACTACCGTTTTCTACTTCACATCTAACATTTTCATTTAGCTCTTAACTAGAACTGAAACGATTAATCAAATTAATCGCAGTGAATCGATTATTGAATAGTCAACTAGTTTAGCAATCAATTAATCAGATTAATCGTGATTAATCGATTATTGAAGTAATTATCAACTTGTTTAGTAATTGATTAATCGGCTTAATCGTGATGAATCGATTATTACAATAATTGTCAACTAATTTAGTCATCAGCATAGAGACTCAAAAAAAATCTGTGCGCTCTGATTGGTCATAAGTTTACTCTGAGCGAGTCACGTCACAGAGAGCTTCCATATGTCGTCTTAAAACAAACGGCCATTTTAAATCATTGGGGGGTTTTTTCATTAAAGCATCCAACTTTTACATCCTAATATTTCAGTCGATGGGGGCGCAACGTGGCTGAGAATAAATATAAAATAAAAGATGAAACCAGCGCAGCAGATGTTTCGACTATTGGTCTGTTTAATAACGACGTGCATGCGAAGATTTCCGCCGCCTCTGTTTCGCCGCTCTCCATGGAAACCAAAGGTGTTTACATCAATTTACAAACAGCGCGATGGCCGGCGTCGACGGATATATCATGTTGTCGGCTCCTATTTCACAGTGAGTTCCGATGCAAACGCACACGCTGACATGTGCAGCGTCCATTTTCCCCACTCCCACATAAACACACTTTGATTGTCCTCAGTGGAGTCTGATGTTGAGTCGTATGGAAAATTATAATATGAACAACCACACTAAAAATCACACCAAAGAAATCTCAGCGAAGAATTGGAATTGAGTGTGAAGAGCAGCACCAAGATTAACAAATACTTTTTGTCTTAGTTTCTTGTGCAAGTATCTTCTTATACTTTAAGTAAGACAAAAATCCTATACAGATAACTATTCATTAATATTGAAAACATTTACTAGTTCCACTGCTGGATTATTTCACCTTTAACAAGACATGTTTCATATGTTTTAAGAGAGAAAATCTACAAGTGGAACTAGTACTTTTTTTAAAATTAATATTAAGAAATTATTGACTGAAGCTTCTGTGTGTTGCTGAAATGTAAGTTGTGAGTTAGTTTTGTCTTATCTCAAGTGCACCAACATATTTGCACTACAAACTAGACTAAAAATACTTGGTAAGATTTTGTGTGTTAGCAGTGAAGTGTAAATGTTGTCTTAGATCGTTGGGAAAAACTTTTTTTTTTAAATCAAATCCACATGTTGCCAAGTTTCTAATATTCCTTTTTTTCTGTCAAATTCCAGGATTATATTTGCCTGTTTTGCAACGCGGTTCTCTTAAAAAGCAGTGGACTTGGCTTGGATTGACTATCCTTTTGGTCCAGACTGCACTTTGAGGATTTGCTTGTCTACATTTTCGATGCCTGTAAAAAACATTTTTCCTGTGCTGTGGCAGCGTTACCCGACCCGCGTCACGTCAAACAAACCCTGCGGGACGCGTACCTGGGGCGGTCCCAGCTGCCCCTGTCGGATGCTCCCAGGCATGTGGGTCGTGTCGATTACAGCAGCCCAGAAGAATGCGCATGCAAAATATCTGCACATGCTTTTCAAGAACATGCCTCGGTGCACTCCCTTTAATAAAACTTGATCGATCGCGTCTCCCATGTGCTGAATATGGATTACCTTTTTCATAACCCTTCTGGTCACGCAGCAGCTTACCGTGAGCTGCACTCGTCCTGAATCTAGTTTGTTACCAACTGCTGAAAGTTTGAGGGGATTTTTTATTTTATTTTTTTGCTCCCTGTTTCACCTGTAAACAGAAATAATTAAAAATTCCAAAAATCTTAGAGTTTTTTAGTCTAGTATCTAGTGAAAACATCTTGGCACATTTGAAATAAGACAAAACTAACACACAAGTAACATTTTCAATAAGTTTTTTAATATTGACGAAAAAGTACTAGTTTCACTATTTCAATTGTAGCTGGGGATGCACCGATCCAGTGATTTCACTTCCGATACCGATATCTGAGGTTTAGTATCGGTCCGTACCGATCTGTTCCAGAAAAGCAGTGCTGAATACACTAAAAATGTTTCTTTTTTTAAAACAGACAAAAAAATTTACTGAATTACAAATTTATTTGATAACTCTGCATCTGTATGGCAACTTAAATACACCAACAGCTTCACTAGCCTGGTCAAACAAGCAAAACAACAACTTTAATTTGTTCAGTAAGTCCAGTTATGGCTCCGAACAGACAATGTAAAATAAATTATACTAAAACTTCCTTGGTGACACAAAAACAAACTGCCACAAATCTTCTTTCCAGGTATTCAGAAAGTGCAATTCGGAATTTCAAATATAATGTAAAATAAATAATAAAGCATGATTGCTCTAGAAATTTTTTCAGTATCAAGACCGATGCAGATATTAATATTGGAATACTTATACCAACATTTTTTGCATGTTATATGTGAAATAATCTATCAGTGGAACTAGTACATTTTTGATTAATATTACAAATTATTGACTTAAAACAAGCTCCTGTTTCTTTCTTAAAAGTTAATTGTAAGTTAGACCAAAAACACCTGGTGACATTTTGTGTTTTTGCAGTGAGCATTCGGCTCCGTTTCAAGTTTGATTGAAAGAGGTAGTAAACAATCATTTTCTTTTATTCTAAAACCTGGTTTTGCTCCTCCGTTGCGCCTCAGAGACCTCAGCAATGTGAACTGTGAGGAACTCGGTCCGCTGCCGCCGGGATGGGAGATCCGTAACACGGCCACAGGGAGGGTCTACTTTGTCGACCACAACAACCGAACCACGCAGTTCACCGACCCGCGCCTCTCCGCCAACCTGCATCTAGTCCTAAAGTAAGAGCTGGGCTTTATTCCTCCCAATAACACACAAGCAAGTAAAAAAAAAAAAAAACGAGATGAGAAATTGTTTTTATTTTTGTTTTATTTAGTCCAAGTTCCAACGGTTCTCGAGGAAGCAGTGAGAGTCAAAACGTCAGGTAAGGACCGGCCCCTACTTCTGACCGACGGTTTTACACCAGAATATCGTTCCAAAGTGTGTTGACCACCGGAGCCAGTGGGCCATTAGAATACAGGCACACACACACACACGCACACACACAGAAATGTATACATATTACAGGCTTTCCACATCCTTTTCTTTCCTCCTGGCATTTCAGAAATTCTTCAGAGGTTTTAATCATGAAAGCGTTTTTAGCACACGATCCATCACGAAGCTGTCTTTGGCCGGACATCAAATAGCCGAGTGAAAACCGATGTGCGTGTGTGTGTGTGTGTGTGTGCCAGGAGCGTCTCATGTCCAGGAAACGGAGACATACATCCTGTGCCCAAGTTAATGAACGAGCTGGATTTGAGCATCTATGCTGTGTGCAGCTGTAGCAACACGGTCTCCGAGCGACGGAGGGCAGTTATTTGAAAAAAGAAACAAACTTTTTAAAAATCTTATCTTTTTTTATGGCTGAAAGAGAGTTGAGGTTGTGCTAATTTTTGCGTTTGAAAAGTCGCTAAGTCGACAACAATGTGGCGATTATTATTAACCAACAGAGCTAAAGGGGGCAATCGCTGATTTTAGACGTTTGTGGAAGTAGATGAGATCGGTTTCACGTCCAAGCCGATTTCCGACCACCCGAAGTTGAGGAAATCGGAGCAGATTTATCGATGCACACAGAAACCTTCCACCTCTGTCTTTTCTTTAAAAGTCTCACGCTTTTGTCCCGCAGGAGACGTCTTGCCTCGACATCATCACCGTATCTTGCAACGAGTATTGAGCCTAAAGTTCGGAAGTTGCGATAGGATATAACCGGAGCCTGCGTCAACCTGTTGTGTTTATATTAACAGCACATCGTATGATCTACTGCCTCTTCTGTTTAGCTTCAGAGCGAACTCTGAAGGGACTCTCAAGCTTGTGACAAACGTCTGGAAAATCCATCAGTCCTCCTGGTTCCCTGTCAAGACATCTGCCTTTTATCAGGCTGGAGATTGTAGACATTTTCACCTCTCATGTGCCGTCATCCCGCAAAAATGTCAGATATATATGATGTCCATCAAAGTTGCAATTTACAGTGCTGCATGGTTTTGGTTAAGACGTTCCCCGGCGCTGTTGCCGTCTTGCTCCCTTCTCTGGTCGAGGTCAGCGTCCAATAGGTAACCGAATCCACGTCTGCTTTTTCTTTTCTCTCCCTCCTTCTCTCTCCCAAGACCTGACTGTGGGATTCACGTGAGAAAAGAATGTCTACTTCTCTTGGAGATGTTTGTGATTGATTAAAGTGTGTCGGGGTTGCGTTCAGGTAACATGTTCCAGTCACTTGTCAATAAGCGGCTGGAAAGAGAACAGAGAGAGAGAGCGGCAACGTTTGTTTTATGGGTGAGAGAGCTGCTCCGCTCCTCTCCTTCCCTCCCCGCCGTGTTTGGGTGCTGTCAGCAGAGTAACCTTCGCGCCTCCCCCCGTCTGCTCCTCGGTCTAGTCGGCAGGAAATAAAGGGATTCATGAGGAGGGCTCGAGCGTCCTATGGGGGCCATGTGGCGTTCTGGGATGGCAGGAAGTGATTCCATTATGCTGCACCAGACCCCAGAAACCAAACTCTGGGACTTTTCTATAGAAAAATGGCCACTGTGGTGAGGTGGAATGCAGTCTGTTGGGTGGGTGGATACATTAAAGGCTGAACCGACTCTTTACAACTGGGATCTGTCTGGATGTCATTTGTTACCACTTCCAGTTAGTTTTTTTTTTTTCTCTATTTAATAGGAGCTGCATAGTGGCAACTAGCCGTAAATCAGTAAGATGGTAAATATTGTAACCTTGGCAGTAGAGATGGAAGTTATTGATTAATTAGTAAGCAAATATTTTTTCTCTCTTATCAAGAGGGCCCACCGTCTCCGTTTTTCATGACATGCTGAATTTTAAAAAAAAAATCTTTACATTTTGATATTATTTTGTGTCTGCTGTACTAAATACTGATTGAACAAACAACAATTTGTGGTTTTATCACATTAAACTTAAGCATAGTCACAAAATATAACAAAATAGGAACTTATTAGGTTGCTTAATAGAAAAATAGAAGATGAAAGGAATGTGAAACCCTTCATTTCCCATGAACAGAGAGATGTGCATACGCTGCTCCACTTTAATTAGCTCTATTAAAGTGAAACTTAAGGTGCTTGTCGAGCGTTTATATTTCTAAACAGAAGTGCATAAAGTGCATTTTGCATCCCACACAGGACCCTGGACCTTTTCTCTTCCTGAATCTCCCCGCCATCTTTATTCCTGGCTCCGTTTAAGGATGACCAGCGGCGCCCTCTGCTGGATGGCGGCCAAACTACAACACTAACAGAAGATCTCAACCAACATTATTAATGGATTGGAACTAATTTTAACAAACTAACAAATCGATTAATCCACTACTAATCACAATTAGATTAATTGTTTGCATCCCTACTTGGCAACAGTTTAATCTTTACTTTATATGAATAACTGAATAATGTGTTCAGCTTTCGACTTCAGGGTCAACATGTATTCTAACATTGACTGTGATCTCTAAGCGACGGCCCGATGACAACTCTGGTTTCTGCACCTCTATTAGTATTAGCAAGATCTTTAAAAGCAAACTAAATACAGCTAGTTGATTTCAGAACTGCTTTCAGTTAGAGATGCTCCGCGAAATCAGCTGCTGTCCAGAATCGTGGTTTTATTCTCAGCAGGTCATATTGGTGATCAGCAAGTAGGAACCTGGAGACCCGCCTGCCCATACCTAACGATATAGTGCAATATATATATATATATATATATATATATATAGATATAGATATCAGTGACGTGCGGTGAGGTTCATTGCTGGTGAGGCACTGACTTACGACTATATAGACGCCATGTATGTTATTTGACGTACAAAAATTTCGCGAAGGCATACAACTCTGGGGGGCAAAAAGACTAATCTTTTTCATGTCATCCATAGCCGCGTTAACTCAGTGAAACTTAGAAATGGAGGCATTAATTTTGTGCTATGAACCACAGCAAAGGGAAAGAGGTATTCGCCACACTACACGCAGACTCGTTGCCATAGCAACTGACATGTTTTAGGATTTAACACTAAAAAAACTAGATTAGCTGCCGCTTCTACTTTACTGAATTACTTTGACATCCAAACTGTAGCCCACAAAACGCACATTTCATTAAAAAAACTAAACAAAAACATCTTATTGGTGTCTTACCTTTATGTATCAATGAAATCCATGCACCGCTAATTCT